TGGTCAATAGAAGAGAGAAAACAGATGAAAAATAATAGAACTTCAAAGACGCCACGGGTTAAGATTAGTGTTCTAACAAATTATTAGAGGTGCACTATTTGTTTTCGTGTGTGTTTCGGGCTGGCTGGCCTGCTGACGTGAGCTTTCATGCATGAAGGCCTTTTCTCATTTCCCACTCCCCAAGCACTTCTGTCAGCAAAGACACAGCACTGTGTGTGCGTGTGTGTGTGTGTGTGTGCGCGTGTGTAATTTCCCACAGCTTTGGCACAATCTGCATGGTGACCTGAAACATAGTTAGCTTCACAGTGGGTTCACAGATGGACAGAGAGACAGACATATGGGTAATTTAACCACAATATGATTCCATGATGTGATATAGCTGCTACTTTGGAGGCCATATAGCAGGTGTTTAGTGTAATGACAGATGTCAGCAAGCAATCAGTAATCACATAAATCAGTATTTGTGGTGCTAAATTTGAATAATGCCACTAAATTTTAAATAGCAAATATAATAATCAAATAAAGGTAATTTCAATTGATATCAAATATCATTTTTATCAAGCTCAAAGTTTATTTAGTTTATATTGGTTTTGTGAAACTGTGACAAGTACAAGTATACAAGTATACAAGGAGACAGTTCCTTAATTGGCTATTTAATAGTAGCAGCCCTTTTCACATGTTAGGCCATGGCGCAGCCCTTCTCATTCATCTGAATGGTGGAGGCGCAGTGAAACAGCAGGGAGGGCAAGTCGTCCAGTACAACGCTGAGTTCTGCAGCAAAAAGTTGGATCGGGTTCAGCTTTTTCTGCATTGCTACATCTGGCAAGGTGTTAAATTGACCGGCCCCAGGGTGTACATAATTGTAATGTGAACGCTGCAGAAATGCAACATTGGGCCTTATGGTTTCAGTTGCTCATGTCACTTCTAATGTGTGTTGAACATTATTGCAATCCGTCAAAAAAAATTCTTTCTGTTCAGTTCTGAAGGCGGGACTGACAAGACAGCTAATCAAGTTGGTTGCCACATGCTCAGCCCTCAAAGAAATGATAAAAGAACACAAAAAAATTAAATTAAATAACATGCTTTACCAGTTCAGTTATACAGTATGTCTGACATTCAGTCAAATTATGACTTTGGCTTATCACTGCCATTTTAATTTCACAAACACACAGTACAGCATCTATCTTAAGATTTAATACAGATCTTTTTCCCGTCTAAACACACTACATACAGAAAATGTGGATGTTCTGGTTTAGCTTACGTAATTACCGAAGATGCTGTAATCAAGCACAGAAGAGTGGGTTTCATAGATTTGTTAAACATACAGGCCAGCTTATAGGCAATTAAATAATGACAACTGCTCTTCAGTACCATCTCCCCATGGAACCTGGTGTCATTCAAAAAGATCCCTCTGCTCTGGCACATAGGGCATATGTGACATTCAATGTTTTCTACAGTCTGTTACAACAGCACAGACAGAGGCTTAAATGTGTGGACTATCCATTTGATCTAATAAAAAGCTAACACTGTGCATACCAAGTGAATTTCAATGCACACAAGTACAGAAGGTCAGCAGCTCTGACTACCATAAATGCAAACTGCTAGATAACAAACACGGGACAACAACATTAAAGAAAGGTCCTTGAGGCTCACATAAGACGTCTTTGTTGTATAACCTTTAAACACATACACATGCACACACACACACACATCATGTCAAGCACAACCCACCTGCTTCTCTCCTCTGTCTCCCATTATCCCCCACACTCATATTTTTATCCTCACACCTACTCATGTGAACATAGACAAACACAAAGCTTAAACACCACACTGTGCAATTAGGTCTTTATCTCTGCTCTGCGTTGTTGCTAGCTATCACTGTTTGTCCTCAGACAACCACACGAGACTCTGACATTGTGGTTTTTGTCGACAGAGCTCTTAGTCATGACAAAGTGCACACTGAGCAAGTCCT